GCACAGCACTTAACCACTTGCTACAGGCTGGCTGGTCCACTTACTCATCACTGTAACCTGGGTCTTGCCTGGTGCAGGCATAGAACAGGCCCTCACATTTGGTGACTAAATGAAGGGATGTACATACTTTATCCTCACAAAAACCTTAACTACTGCCACCCCCACTTTACAGATGGGGAACCAAGGCTCCTAAGAATGACTGAGGCTTGGAACCGGCAAGTAGCATGGTGGTTAATTAAGGGTGCTGGACTCCCATATGGCCAACCATGGTTTGAGTCCTGGACATGGTGGTTTGCTTTCTCATTTTGCCTCTCTCTCTCTCACGTTCACTCTGTCTCTCTCTGGTCAAATTTAAATAAATAAAGTTAAATTTAAAAAATAAAAAATAATAATTCTTAAAAAGAAAAAAGTGACTGAGCCTCCTAGAAAAGTCTCTACACAGCTAGTTGCCGAAATGCAAACCTAGATGTTCTGTGCACTCACTCAACTATCCTAACGTGCCATGCTGATTTCTTTCCTCTCCTTGAAAGCCTCATGTCCTGAGAGGAGATGGGGTCGAGGCAGAATGGAACCCCAAAATGGCTGAGTCTAGACTATGACAGGTGCCTCTCGGGGATTCAGAGTTTTGGCAGCTTCTGGGAGATGTGAACGGTGATAAGATTCAGTGTCTGGCTTATCTGAGACTCTGCTTGGAAGAGAATGTGTAACAGACACCCAGGTGAGCATTTTGGAAGAAAAGGCTCACCCAATAAAGAGCCCCAGAGAGCAAACAAGGATTTCCATAGCCACCTGGCAGAGAGAAGCAGCAGCCAGCCTTCCTTAAATGGCCTTGCAGGGCCTGGGACTTCCCGCCTCCGCCTCCGCCTCCCTTGAGAGGCAAAGGCAGGAGGGTGGCCCACTAGTCTCCTAGCCTGCTGCATCAACCCTCGTCATAGATATGAGTAATTGAGGAAGTGAAGTTTAGGAGCTTGAGGGATGGGGGTGTGGGTATCTGATGATGTAAGGTGATCCCAAACAGGTTCTGTGTTTGCTTTTCCAAAGTCCAATTTAATTAGGGGGGCCTGCATACTGTTTTCACCACCTTTCAGCACATTCTTTAGAAAGGGGGGGGGGAGTTTGTTTAATGCACACAGGCAGGTGCCTGTGAACTAGGTCAATCCAAGGAGCATCTGAGGCTCAGACCCAAAGCACAGGGTCCTGCTTTCTCCAAGGGCAGATTGTAAAGGAAGAAGAGGAAGGAAACCACCACCTTAAAACCTGCTAGGTTTTCTTCTTCCACCCTTGAATTATCTTAAAGCTGTGTGCACTGGGCTCACACCTCTGAGATCCCAATGGGTTTCTCAAACCAGTCTGTGGCAAGAAATGGAAACTAATCAGTAACTATTTGTGACACTCTACAGCTATCTGTGGGTAAAAAGTGACAGATTCCTTGTTTTCGAATTCCCATGTGGCAAATGCTGCAGGAACCAATGTTTAAAGCCAGTTCAAGTGGTACATTCCTCATTTTCCTGCACTGTCCAGAGTAAAGCAACTTCTGAAACCCTGGCTGCCTTTTTAAATCATGAGGCCAATTTGAGGTCAAATGTGCAATTTTACCAGAAGAGCACTTCCATCCTGGGGCAATTCCACATTGGACTAGTACAAAGAGACACCACAGTCCAAAAAGGCCAACAACAGTTAAATGTTAGGAAACCTGATGAATGGGGGCGAGGTCTAGACACAAAGGGAACTGGAACCAGCCACACAGGGGCCTGTGGGATGCTGGTGGGAGCTGCCTCTCCCACCCACCAAAACCACCAGCCCCATGGCCCCCAACTCTACCTACCACCTGTCTGAACTAGCTCCAGCAGATCTGCTTCCTCTCGGGGCCCCACCCTAGCAACACATCTGATTCTGTCTACTTCACGATGGGAACTTATTCCCCACATATCTTCTTTCTACGCCCTTCCTCCAGATGTTTTAGGAGAAAGAGGAAGACCAACTACAGATCCTTCCATAGATTAATAAAATTTTTAAAGAGGTTTTTGCCTTAGGGTGTGTGCACACACTGCTGGAGAGAGTTACAGAGACAGTGAGAGGAAATGCAAGAAACCATCCCTCAGGGGGATGGCCATGCCACAATCCCTTGTCCTCCATTCTTCTCCTGGGATCTTGGGAATATACGCACATGCACTAGTGTGATGTTCATGCCACCAGGTCCTAGATGAGAACCACGGTTTGCCATGTGGGAGTTCAGCGTCCTAACCATTATGTCATTTGCTGGCCCCTTAATCAATTTTTTTATGCCTCAGTTTCCTAATTTAAACAATGGAAATAACAGGTTCTTGTGAAGTTTATTTTGTTAAGGAATTATTTATTTTATTATTTTTCAACTTGACCTGAGAGAGAGAGAGAGAGAGAGAAAGGGAAAGTGAGAAAACAAGCCCCCAAGTCCGGGACTAGAACTGCAAACGGTTATGTGGGAGCCAGCACCTTAACCACCATGCCATGTGCCAATCCCTCATTTATTTTTAATAATTACTTTATTTAATTAACTAATTAATTAATTTTTAAATTTGGCCAGAGAGGGACAGAGTGTGAAAGAGAGGAGAGAGAGGGAAATTTTTAAAATAGAGGAGAGAGAGGGAAATAGAGAAACCAAGCCACCAGGTCCAGGACTTGAACCGTGATTAGTCATGTGGGAGTCCAGGGCCCTGAGTCATCATGCCACCTGCCACACCCCCCTACCCGTCTTGTGAAGCTTAAATGAGCACACACTGTGGAGAGAGCTACAGAAACAGTAAAATATACAAAACCTTTACCCTAGAGTCTCGGGCAAAAGTGAATGGCTACTGCTATCAATAATAACAATTTTATTAACATGTAATAATGCTATTACTGATCAGACACAAGCGTTTAGACGGGAGAAATAAAAATCAGATTATGCTGCCTTCAGGACTACCTAATGTCTTGGTGCAGGAAAACAAAGTGACGACCACCTATGCTGAGACACGTCATACTCACACACTCCAAAATCTGATCCCTGCACTCCACTTGTCAAGCTGGGTCTAGTTTGCCTCCTCCCAGGTCAGTCCTCGCTGCCCGCTAATGTCCACCAAAACAACCCAGGCTGCCCACACCACCCATCCTACAGTGCCATCCAAGGGCATCCTGGGACATTCGCAGCAAGCTAGAATGTGAAGTTCAGAAGGCAGAGCTGGGGCGTTCCTGTATCCACATCTCCTCAATTTCCTCCCAGGGTCACACCAAACATTAGGCAGAGGACAAGGTAGACCCACTACAGTATCAGGTGGACAAAACTTCTTTTCTGATCCAATATATGGCTCCACAGAACACAGAGAGGTCTCAGAAAAGACCGAATATGTCTAATCAATCAAGCTGCAGTTTCTCTGAAATAAAGCGCCGCCCACAGTTGGAACAACTTCCAAAGTTCAAAAAAAAAGTTTAAGGTAACAACAGCATGATTGCCGATTTTTCATGTGGCCAGAGACTGGAAGGATAAACACAGTGGAAGCATTCCCTCAGGGGGATTGTGGGTGATTTCACTTTCTAAAAAGTATTTCTTATATTGTTTTGATACTCACACAATCAAATGAAACCATGAGGGAGGAGAAAGTGGTTTGATATAAACCAAGCACCTGGGAATCAGTGAAACCAGAAGAGAAACCAGTTCCTTCCCTGGCTCCCGCCCCTAGGCAACACTGAAGTGGAATAAAGCAAACTCTAGATTATCACAATGATAAGGCCTACAGGACATTAGGTGTTTGTGTGCAGCATATTCATCCCCTGAGTCAGAGTTTCTTTTTAAAAAAAAAAAAATCATTATTCCTTGGGGGAAATAGTCTGCATCAAAATGTTTTCATCTCTATGAAAAAAAACTACTGCCCAGGGCAGACAGGTGGCATAGTGGTTAAGGTACTGGACTCCCACATGACTGATCACAGTGCAAATCCCAGACTTGGAGGATCGGTCTCTCTCTCTCTCTCTCCCCCTCTCTCTCTTTCATCAAGTTAAAAATAATAATAGGAGCCAGTCGGTTGCATAGTGGTTAAGGCACTGGACTCTCACATGTTAGACCATGGCTCGAGTACTGGACCCAGCGCCTTGAAATACACTTAGGGTGTGTGTGTAAAAATTCCAAGAGAATGGAAAAGGAATTGCAGTGTAGCCATCCCCCCTAATGGGAAGATTTTTCACCGTCTTTCTGTATCTCTGCCTCTCTGGTAAGGGCATGCACCCTACAGCAAAAAAAAATCTCTTAAAAAATAATAATAAATATATAATTGAAAAAAAAAAAAACAAAAAAAAAACAAAAAACACAGCCCATGGGCCCAGCAGGTGACATGGTGGTTAAGGCACTAGACACTCCCATGTGGCTGACCTCAATTCAAGTCCCAGACCAGGTGGGTTGCTTTCTCACCTTCCCTCTTGCTCTGTCTCTCTCTTTGGTCAATGAATAAATAAAATTAAAATAAGTATTATTTTAAAAAATAAATAAATAAAAAACACAACCCAGGTAGCCAAGACGGGGCTTCTCAGTCTTTCCAGAGATGATGCAGAACAGATGGTCAGATCCCAGTTTAAATTCCTACTCTGCTGACCCTGGGCAAGTAAAAGTCACTCTGAACCTCAGTTTGCTCACCTATAAAACGGGAATATTGCTGCACCACCTTCCCAACCAACAGGTTTTTGCAGTCTGTAATGACAGACTGTCTCTAAAGTTGTCAAGACAATGTGAGAAACAATGAAGGCCTCTAATAAGTGTCACGCCACCACAACCACCGCCCCTTTGTAACATAGTTAATCAGACAGGGTGACCTCTACTTAACCACAGGGTTCAATGGTGGCAAAAGTTTAGGTCCCTAAGTGTGTAAATACCAAGGAATTGTCATTTGAGCCAGGGAGGGAGTTTGCCCATCCCAACCTAAGGGTGTGGGAGTTCAATTTCTCAGCCTCTTCCCAACCCCACCCCACACCAACAACATTAGTGCCGCCCTCACCTCTGCCCAGGACTCGGCCTCTCTCCAAGTGCTGTCGGGGGACGATGAAGGTGTAGCTCTCAGCGCCAAAGCCAGAATGGCAAGGCTCCGGCTCCTGGCAGAGCCGAGGGGAGACCTGGGGTACAGAAGAGATACAGGGCCTGGGTGACTTGGAGGGTTCCCTTCTGCCCACACGAAACCAGCACCTCCCCTCCCTCCCTTCAGGCGCCCGATGGTGAGATTTTCCTCACCACCCCTCTGACAGACAGTGACGTCATCCTCTCCCATCCAGAAAACCTGCTGCCGCCAAGACCCCAGAACTCCTAGGACAGGCCCTGGAGCCACCTGCTGCCAGCCTAGCCCACCTGTCTTTCCTGTCTGCTTTTTCATTACACGGGAGACTTCTTTAGTCTTCCCAATCCCACTCTCCTTAGACCAAGTTGGCTCCTGCTCCTGAGTCTATTTCCTCATACCGAGGGGGCGCTCAGCACCCTTTAGCCCCACATTCTTATCCCAAGGGCGCCCCCATTTCTATTACATTCACTACCCTTTCTTTACAAGGCAGGTGCCTTTATTTTTCCAGACACCCCTTTCTCTACTTGGGGGCTCATCCCTACTACTCTTGGCTCCCCCTTTACTTGCACCGGAGCGCCCCTTTTCCACACCCCGAACCCCCCACTCTGCTCCACGCCCTCATCGCCCTCCCCAAGCCCACACTGCCGCCAACCCGGAGTCCCCGGGGCCTGCAGCCAAGCGCGCCCCCCACCTCGGTATTTGGTGGCGGGAGCGGGCAACGCGGTGCTCGCACTTCGCCCCCTCCAGCCCTCACTCTGGGGAGCCCAGAGCACCGCGCAGCTTCCAGAAGGTCCCGGTTCTTTGCCTCCAAACTTTCTTGGCAAAAGGGAAGCGGGGAAGACTGAGAGGAAGGAACGTGGGACGCGGGAGCGGATAGTGGGGCCGAAAGGCGTCCCCTGAAGTCTGGGGGCTCAACGTACCTGCAGCAGCAGCAGCAGAAGCGCTGGCGGCGCGGAGGGCCCATGGCGGGCCGGGCGGGTGCCGAGCGAAGGCGGGGGCCGGGCGCGGTCGAGTCGGGCCGGGCCGGGCCGGGCTAGAGTCTTTACAGACTTCCGTGAACTCACAGGTGCTGTGCGGCTCCCAACGCCACTGAGCCTGGCAGCGCCGCAGCCTCCAGGTGAGCCTCGGAGGCACCGCCCCCGGCACAGCTCATTGGTCGAGGATGCACCTGCTGGCCGCAACCAATGAGTGGCGCGGTGTGGACCTTGGCTTCCTCCCGAGGGCTGGGCGCAGACGGCCCGCCCAAGGTCCCGCCCTCTCCCTGGCCTCGCACTGACAAGGTGACCCACTAGTCAATAGTTGGTGGAGTCCCAGTGGGTTATGGGAATTGCACAATTACAATTCCATCGGGTTCAAATCCCAGTGCTGCTGGTGGCTCACTAAGACCGAGGGTCACCGGGCCAGCAGGTGGCGTGGTGGTTAAGGCGCTGAACTCCCATACGGTTGACTACAGTTCAAGTACCGGACCTAGTGGGTTGTTTTTTCAGTTTCTCTTTCTCTCTCTCTCTCTCTTTCTTTCTCTCTCGTGAGAGCATGTGCCCTATAGCAAATTAAAATAGTAATAATAAAATTAAATAATTCTTAAAAAATAAAAACTCTCAGGACCAGCAGGTGGTGTGGTGGTTAAAGGCGTTGGACTCCCACATGGCCAACCACAGTTCAAGTCCTGGACTTGGTGGCTTGCTTTCTCTGTCTCTGTCTCTCTCTCTGACCAACCTGGAAAATAATAATAATAAATAAAGTTAAATTAAATAATTATTTAAAAATAAATAAATACAAAAACTCTGATGCTGGCAGGTGGTATGGTGGTTAAGAGCGCTAGACTCCACATGGTCAACAGCGGTTTGAGTCCTGGAGCTGGGAGCTTGCTTTCTCACTTTCTTTTTTATTTTTTTCCTTTATAAGAATTATTTTATTTAACTTTATTTATTTTAATTTGACCACAAAGGGACAGACCAAGGGGTGGGGGAGTGAGAAAGCAAGCCGCCAGGTCTGGGACTCAAACCACAATCAGCCATGTGGGAGTCCAGCAGCCTTAATCACATGCAACCTGCCAGTCCCCACTTTCTCACTTATTCTCTATCTCTCACTCTGTTCCTCTTTGGTCATATTTAAATAAATCAATAAAGCTAAATAAAATAATTCTTTAAAAAAAAAAAAACAGTAACATGGGACCAGCAGATGGCATAATGGCTATGTCGCTGGACTCCCATGTAGTTGACCATGGTTCTAGTCTCAGAACCAGTGTCTTAAACACACCAGGCGAGCATGCGTACGTGCCCAAGATCCCGAGAGGAGAATAGAGAAGGGATTGCAGCGTGGCCATGCCCCCTGGGGGGTAATTTCTCACTTTCTGTCTCTCTGTCTCTCTCTCTCGGACTTCCTGGTGAGTGCATGCGCCCTATAGCAAAAACCTCTCAAAAAAAAAAAAAAAAAACAAAAACGGGGTCACAAAGGACTGCTCCATAGGTTAGTGAGTTAGCAAATCTATCCACTGAGTCAAGACCACCTCTCAAAGCCTCAGTTTCTCCACCTCACAAGTGGGAATAATGGTGACAAACACTCGCCTGTGTTGTTTTGAGGCTCCCTACCACTAATAAGACCAGTTTTCCTGAGTCAGCTCTTTACAGATGTGAGGGGCAGTAACCATAAGAATAGGTACTGGGGACTGAAGTCCTCTTTGCCAGGTCTGTGTTAGATGTTAACTATCTCATTTAATCACGTATTAAGACAAACCAAGAGCCCTGTTTGTTTGTTTGGTTGGTTGGTTGTTTGTTTTGGGGGGGTTGCTATAGGGCATATGCGCTTGTCAGAAAGGCCAAAAGAGACAGAGAGACAAAAAGCAAGAAATCACCCTCCAGGGAGGATGGCCATGCCAAGATCTCTTCTCCTCCGTTCTCCTCTTGGGATCTTGGGCACGCATGCACACATGCCCGGCGTGAGTCTAAGCCACCAGATCTGGGACTCCAACCACAGTCGACTACATGGGAGTCCAGCAACATAGCTATTATGCCGTGTACTGGTCCCAATAGCCCAGTTGTTATTCTCATTTGATAGATGGGCAACTGAGGCATAAGATTGAGGCTGGGAACCAGCAGTTAGCGTAATTAATGGCTATGTCGCTGGACTCCCACGTAGTCTACCGCGGTTTGCGTCCCGGACCCGGTGGCTTAAAACTCACGCCAGGCGCGTGTGCGTGCATGCCCAAGATCCCAAGAGGAGAATGGAGGAGAAGGGATTGCGGCATGACCATCCCCCCTGGGGGGTGATTTCTCGCTTTCTGTCTCTCTGTCTCTCTCTGTCTGTCTGGCAAGTGCACGCGCCCTATTGCGAAAACCTCTCCCCCCCCAAAAAAAAAGATTGAGGACAATAAATGATTTTTGTTTTTGTTTTATGAGATTTTTGCTATAGGGTGCATGTGCTTGCTAGTGAGACAGAAGGCAAGAAACCCCCACCCCCACCCCAGGAGATGGCCATGCTGCAATCCCTTCTCTTCCATTCTCTTCTCAGGATTTTGGGTGCACACACACATGCACCTAGTGTGAGTTTTAAGCTGCTAAGTCTGGGACTAGAACCACGGCTAACTATGTGGGAATCCAATGATGTAACCATTATGCTGTTTACCGGTCCTGATGCCCATAAATGGTTATCGAGGATGGGAACCCACCTTCTGATTCCCAGGTCTTTTCATCTAACTGTTAGTTTCACTCAAGACAGTCTTCCAACTGTAGCTAATTTTCTTTTCTTTTGATTACTTTTTTTTATTATTATTTTTAATTTGACTAGAGAGAGAGAGAGAGAGGGAAAGTGAGAAAGCAAGCCACCAGGTCCAGGACTCGAACCATGATTGGTCATGTGGGAATCCAATTCCTTAACCACCACGTCACCTGCCAGCCCTGTATCTAGTTTTCAATCTGTCTTTTTTTTTTAGATTTTGCTATAGGATATATGAACTTACCAGAGAAAGACAGACAGAGTGGGAAAGAGAAAAAGTAAAGTATCCTCCCCAGGAGGTGGGGAATGGCCTCACTACAATCCTTTCCTTTCTCCTCCAGTCTTCTCCCTAGATTTTGGGCCTGCACACACATGTACCTGGCATGATTTTCAAGCTACCGGTCTAGGACTCAAACCATGAGGCTGGCCATGTGGGATCCAGCTCCTTAACCTCCACACCACCTGCTGGCCTTCAATCTGTCTTTTAATGTTGACCTAGAGAGACCCTTTAGAGATCACCAAAACCTATAATTTCCAGTTAACTCATTCAATATTACCTAGCAAGTCAATGTCAAAGCCAGGACCAGAGGGCACCAGCAATTAGCGTAACAGCTATGTTGCCGAACTCCCATGTAGTCGACCGCAGTTTGAGTCCCGGACCTGGTGGCTTAAACTCACACCAGGCGCATGTGTGAGCGTGCCCAAGATCCTGAGAGGAGAAGGGAATGCGGTGTGGCCATCCCCCCTGGGGGGTTATTTCTTGCTTTCTATTTCTCTGTCTCTCTCTGTCTTTCTGGTGAGTGCACATGCCCTATAGCAAAAACCTCTTAAAAAAAAAAAAAAAAAAAAGCCAGGACCAGAACTCAAGCTCCCCTGATCTCCTGAGTGAGATTCTTAATGCCACAGCCATAATATGGCCACCAGCACCTTCTCCAGAGAATTCTGTTTCCAGTAAAACAGTTTTAGGATCAAAAACTAAAGACAGGCAAATACTAGGTCAGACAGCTTCCCTGTGACTGCCAGTGGTCAGCCATATCTGTGTGGTTTGGCTACCTTAACAAAGAAACACCTCCTTTTCCTTCCGCTTCCTTTTTTTTTGGAGAGGTTTTGCTATAGGACGCATCTGCTGGCTGAAAAGACAGAGAGAGACAGAGAGACAGGAAGCGAGAAATCACCCCCCTGGGAGGAATGGAGTCCTTTCTCCTCCATTCTCCCCTCGGGATCTTGGGCACACACGTTCACGTGTCCAGCGTGAGTTTAAGTCACCGGTCCGGGACTCAAACCGTGGTTGTCTACACGTGAATCCAGCAACGTAACCATTACACTATCTGCTGGTCCCCCCTCCCTCTTCCAAGCTCAGTTAAAACAAAACAGAGTGTGGGGTCAGCCACTTGCTAGTTGTGTGACCTTCGAGTGAGTCCCTGTTCTCGTCCATAGGAATGAATTGACATGAGCTAGTGCAGAAAACATCACTGTGCAGAGTACTTGGCACGTAGCAGCACCTGCTCGGTACGTGTTTGGTGTGGAGATTGTTCTTTAGAAAGGCCCACACCCTATCTTCCTTCTTGATAAGGAAGGCCATGTTTGGAATAGTTCACCCAGAGCCTACTGAGGCTACCTCCTCCACTACAAAGGAGAGGTGCTGTCTCAACGGAGTGCTGTTTCAGGTCAGCTCAGGCTTCCCCCACAATCTGTCCTCTCAGTTTTAATGGGTTTCCAAGCACACACCCCTTTTGTATTTCTGCCTTTTCTCTTCCTCTGCCTCTTAACCCACCAGGAGACTCAGAGGGAAAAGGCTCCGGTATTTACTTTCCCGCTGAGGCTCCTGCCTGACTGTGCATTAAACGAGATAATGGAAATACAGAAAGAGGCGTTTCCCCCATGGGGCAGCCTTGCCCGTTTATTTTTTTTCTCCCAGTTATGTAAAAATACATATTTTATACCATCGCTGGGCCCAGGGAGCCTTTGGGTTTTGCTTTCTTTTACCCAGCAAGCCCTGGCCTTGTAACTCTGCAGCGAGTCTCATCGACTCTTCCATTACACTCTGATAATTCAATAAAAAGGATTTTAGAAAACAATTAGGGGCAGTGAGGACAGGAGGTCAAGCCTGAAACACTCTTCAGACTTCTTGGCAAATCCTTCTCCAAGCTCCAAGGAGGATCAGGATGGGATGCCCCCACACCAACTGTCCGGGGTAAGCAGAGAACACAAAGGGGCTCCCTGTAGAGGCTGAGCTGCCTCAGTTTCCTTTTCTATCAACCAGGGATACCTAATTGTGAGGATCAAATGAGCCTGGTGGGTGAGCCTGTGCTGTTGTGGAGCCATGCTACTGATGGCCTTTGATCTCAGGCTGAGCGGCTGACTCCAGCCCTGCCACTAGCTGGGTAGCGTTAGTCACTTGTCTTCCTCATTCTCAATTTTCTCATCTCTACCATGGGGATGTTAATAACACTTAATTCACAAGGCTCTTGCCTTTGCAAAAGTAACTATTAGAACTCTTTGTCTAAAACATTCCCTTCCCAGTTCTAGGCAAGATTTTGTGCCGCCTTGAAAATTCCCCATTCCTGGGCTATCCATTCCCCACTTTGCTATTACAACTTCTCAGGGTATCTCTCCTTGCATCAGCTGGGAAAACTTTCACACTGGCAGGCTAGTCATTTTGACCCTTCCTGGATTATTTGCATTTTAAAGAAGACTTCTGGAGATGACCTACCTTGCTTCTTTCAAAGGAATGAAAGCTTTCAAGCTAGTTAACTCCATCCAGGGTGTTTGTTTGTTTTCAGATTTTTGCCATGCTGGAGAGAGAAAGTGAGGGAAAGGGAGAAATCAGTCCCCAGGGGGGATGACCACACTGTAATTCCTTCTCCTACAGTCCCCTCAGAATTCTGGGCACTCACACATAAGCACCCAGAGTGTTTTTCAAGCCACCAGGTCTGGGACTTGAATTGAAGATCTAGCTGCCCTAATCTCCAAACCACCTGCTGGCCCTCCATCCAGGTTTCTTAGCCCGGTGTCTGTAAATAGGGTTTTAGGGGTTCATGAAAGTGTATGCAAATCTGCCCTTGCAAGTGATAAGGCCCATTGCTCACTTAGCTTCTCAACAGGAAGGAGGAAAACTCAAAATCCAAAAGTTGACATGTCTTTAGAGCCGGTGCAGTGCTGACAGTGGAATCGCAGGCATCAACGGTGTTAGATAGAGGGTGTTAGATAGAGGCCATGCTAGTACCTTGACGCCATCACAGAGGTAGATAACAGATGCTGGGAGGCCAACCCAGCATTCATCAGTGGGATCCGTTTCCTCGGTTTCCTCGCTGCAGAGTGCACTGCAGCTGCATTGCCATCTCTACAGACTTTCACTTCCTGGGTGTCCTGCCCACTGGTCTGCTGGAGGCTAGTGATGAATCATGAGGGTGCGCTGGTTCCTTTGCCTCCTGGCACGAAGTCAGCTTAGACTGAAAGGAGCACTCCACGGCTTGCCTCCTTTCCTGTTTTCTCCTTCCCATCCTTGCCCACCCCTAGGCAATCTCCCTGCCAGCAGGGGAGGAACCCCCAGGGAAACTGGAATTGCTAGGGACTGCAGCCTGATCAGCTCTATCCTGCTCTTGGGGGTGGAGGAGCAGCGCTTCCAACACCTCTGCTGGGCCTGGAGGCCTGCCAGCCTGCAGGGGAGGGAACTGGATATGATGCTCCAGCCTTCCGTTAAAATGATGGTAACTGATAGGGAGCTCGCCCTTTGCAGCTCAGCAACTCACACACCAAAAAAAGTTTCATTTCAAACACAAAGTCAAGAAAATAGTGTAATGTGTAATATGCACAGTGTAATGAAACCCCCATGTATCTGTCACCCAGCTTCAACAATTGTTTTCTGGACTTTTTATAATTTTGTAATTTGTAAACTTAGTTAATTGTACCAAATCTTGTTTCATCTTTCTAGCCTAGCATTTTTTATTTTTGCTTTTGCAGACTATTTTAAAGCAAATTCCAAATAACATATTATTTCCCCCCCATAAAGATTCACATGACATTAAGTAATAATGCCTAATGAAATTTACAAAAATTCCTCAATATCATCAAATGCTTAAGCAATGCAGGTTTTTGTTTTGTTTTGTTTTGTTTTTTGGGGGAGAGGTTTCTGCTACAGGGCACATGTGCTCACCAGAAAGACAGAGACAAAGAGACAGAAAGCGAGAAATCACCCCCCAGGGGGGATGGCCACACAGCAATCCCTTCTTCTCCATTCTCCTCAGGATTTTGGGCATGCATGCACACATGCCCAGTGTGAGTTTAAGCCACTGGGTCTGGGACTCGAACCACAGTCGACTACATGGGAGTTCAGCAACATAGCCAACTGCTATCTGCTGATCCCCAATGCAGTATTTTTTTAAATGTCTTTTTTACAATTAGTTTATTTTTAAAATGGTCCAAGATGCCAGCAGGTGGTGTAGTGATTAAGGCTCTGGACACTCCCACATGGCCAGCCACGGTTTGAGTCCCAGACCTGGTTGCTTGCTTTCTCGCTTTCCCTCTGTGTGTGTGTGTCTCTGGTCAAATTAAAATAAATTAATGAATAAATAAAATTGAATAATTATTCTTTAAAAATAAATCAATAAATAATGATCCAAGTAAGAGACACACTACGTTTCTGTTATGTCCTTTTATATATGTCTTTAAAAAAAAAGATTTTGCCATAGGGTAAGTGTGCTCACTGAAGAGAGAGAGAGGAAAAGTGAGAAATTATTCTTCATGGGGGATGGCCACACAGTAATTCCTTCTTCTCCATTCTCTTGGGATTTGGGGCACACACACATACACACATGCACCCTGCACCCTGTGTGATTTTATTTTTTTTAAATGAATTATTTTATTTAATTTTATTTATCTTAATTTGACCAGAGTAAGAGAGAGAGAAAGAGAGGGAAAGTGAGAAAGAAAGCCACAAGGTCCAGGATTTGAACTGCAGTTGGCCATGTGGGAGTCTAGTGCCCTTAATCACCATGCCACCTGCCAGCTGACCCCCCCCCACTCCCATGTGATTTTCAAGTTGCCGGGTCTGGGACTTGAATCATGGTCAACCATGTAGGTAGTCCAGCACTTTAACCATCATACGACCTGTTGACCTCTGTTTACTTTTTTTCTTTTTTTTTTTTTTTAGTATTCTTGCCTTAGGACACAAGCACTCACCAAAGAGAGATAAGAGACAGTGAAAAGGAAAGTTAGAAATCAACCCCCAGGGGGAATGACCATACCACAATCCCCTGTCCTCCATTCTCCTCCTGGGATTTTGGGCACACATGCACACATGCCTGATGTGATTTTCAAGCCAACAGGTTTAGGATTAAAATCAAAGTCAGCTATGTGAAAGTCCAGCTGCCTTAACTACCATGCCACTGCTGGCCCCTGGCTACCTTTTTGGAGGTATAATTACCTAAAATGTTGAAAGCATACAGCATAATTCATTTGTTGGAACCATTCACACAATCAAAATAATGAGTGTGTCCTTGTTTGGTGTGATAGCTTCAGACTTACAGACTTTTTTTTTTTTTTGGAGCCACTAGGTCATTTATCCTGTAAAATATCCTGAATTTTTTTTTTCTTTTTTAGTTTGCTACAGGGCACATGCACTTGCCAGTAGGGGCCGACCCCCTACGGGGATGGCCACACTAAAAAACTCCTCTTCCACTCTCCTTTCAGAACTTTGAGCACACACTCACATGACCCCGTGAGATTTTTTTTTTTAAAGATTTATTTATTCATTCATTCTTTCTTTCTTTCTTTTTTTTTTTAATTTGACCAGAGAGAGACACAGAGAGAAAGAGAGGACAGTGAGAAAACAAGCCACCAGGTCCAGGACTCGAACCATGGTCGGCCATGTGGGAGTGTCCAGTGCCTTAACCACCATGCCACCTGCTGG